AGTGTTGTGATCCTTCTGATTTTCATTGGCCGATTTTTCTAGGAGTAGACTGCCAGGCCTTTCTTCTTAGGCTGGAAGCTTGCTGGAACCAGCTCAGCATCATAACAATCTGCAAGTCTCCACTAACGGATGTGTGATGCCTGTGCTTGAGAGACACTGGCCATGAACCAAACCCAGGTCTCTCACCTGGAAAGCAAAATGTCCATCATTGACCCACTGCTGCCTATCATTGAATCACTGCTGCCTCCCCATGTTAACTCAGGGAGGTCATGCTCAGCACACGTTCACAAGTTCACCCCCCACCTGCCACACAGGTTCCTAGATGAAATCAGTCAGCCCTTTACATGCTCGAGAGGATGTTTTCTCACATTTACTTAGGCTTCTAAAGGATGACGTCAGGAGGGGCAGCACAAGAAAGTATCCGCCCTGCCATCTTTCTCTCTCCCGCTGGCCTGCAAGGCAGGGCGCTCTTCCCTTAGTCTTCTCAGTAAAGGCAGAAATTGACCACAAACGAGCTAGTTGGAGGTGGGATGGAGAACTGGGGAGAGAGATGGTGAGTAGAGCCATGGGTGACCACGTGGAAATGTGACCGGCAATGAGGTGGAGGTGAAGGCTTGCTCATCAGGTAGCTGTGTTGGTCTGGCTGTGGGTGAATTATTTGAGGGTTCAGCCAACCTGGAAGGCAGCCCCTTGGCTCCGCCAGGTTGAGAAGCTCAGACCCCGAGTCTCCAGGTGGGGCACCCCAAGGAGCACAGAGAAGCCTCCTTTCTCGTCAGGCTCACCAGTTGGAGCTGGCCAGTTCAGTGTCACTTCTCAGGCCTTTGATTGGGAACCAGTGGCTGGTGTCCCAGGCTTTTGCGCCTTCCCGTTTCCATTGCTGTTGGCTGTGGAGGAGTGGTGGTGGTGGTGGTGGTGGTGGTGATGATGGTGATGGTGGTGGTGGTAGTGGTGGTGATGGTGATAGTGATGGGTGTGGGTGTTGGTGATGGTGATTGTGATTGTGGTTGTGGTGGTGGTGGTGATAGTGATGGGTGTTGGTGTTGGTGATGGTGATGGGGATGGGTGGTGGTGATGGTGGTGATGATAGTGATGGTGCATGGTGAACAAGTGTCTGCGTTTCCGGGGCTGGGGCTGCCATCAGAAGGCTGTATTTGGGCCGTGCAGCTGACGACCGTGGAACTCACAGGTGTCGGTAGGATGCTAGGTGCTTCTGAACAGCTCGGGTCCTGATGGAGGGCCAAGCTCTTCAGCTGCAGGACATGCTGGGTGGGCTGGCTTAGGGAGCCACGAGCAGTCTGACATTAGAGCCTGCCCCTTTGGTTTCTTTCCCACCCTGGGAG